CCCACCCCACCCACCTGTTTGAGTTTCTGCGGCGTCACCTCCATGCCCAGATCCAACTCCTGTAGGGCTACCACTGCAGTGCGATGCAACCAAACCAAACCAACCAGCCATTCCACACAACACACACATACACACACACACACACAGAAGATTTGACACAAAGCATGTGTGCTGTGTGTGTGTGCCCATTGATGTCACTGACAGAGGTTGGTTGCGATGGTGTTGGGGTCATCGTAGGCGGAGAAACTCGGCTGCCTGCACAACACAACACAACACAACACCACAACACACTACAACACAACACAACACAACTCAACCAGCAATGCGCGGGCAAACAAGTGCCGTCATATATGTCAATCACAATTACTTTCCCAGCTGCTGCAGCAACCAATACACCAGCCTGAACACAGACACACACACGGAGGGCACACACAATGCACCCGTCATGGCCGTCCAGCAAGTGTGTGTGTAGTGTGTGTCCGCCATACGAGTGGAAGTAGGTGAGCTGCAGGGCAACGTTCGGCGCAGGGAACGAGAAATAAGACGCCGTGATGGGCGACAGCTCCCTGCAACCATTCACAAACCAGTCATCACTCACACACACACACCCTGATGCATTCTACACGCTCCGTGCTCACTTGTTGCAGAACTGGGTCTCATAGTCGAGCAGCTTGAGCATCTCGAGGATCTCCTCATTCACAGCCAACACATCCGCCTCCAGCGACACCCCGCCAGCGGCACTGCCACCGCCGCCAGCGGGCCCGCTACGACGCTCCCTCTCCCCGCCTGTGGTGGTTGTGGCTGTGGGCGAGCCTGTATCCTCACCCTCACCGCCTCCCTCGGGGCGCGATGCCAGCTGCAGATGGTCGTCGACACACAGGCATCTGACGTGGATTGGTGTGGATCTTGAAAGATCAGTGTCTGTTACCTTTCTGCTCGCCATCCTGGGTGTTTTGATCAACAGAAGCGCCGAAATTCAGTCATCGCATTCATTCGACCGATGGTTCTCGGCTCGCAGCGCATCGCAAGGAGAGGAGGGAGGATGCTGCTTAGTGAGGTGATCAAGACCTTCGTCGAGAGCGTGGTGAGGAAGAGAAAGAACAACATGCTCTGCTTCCGGCATCCATCTGCTTGTGGTGTGTGTGTGCGCCATGCAGGTGTTTCTGTTGTTTTTGGTGTTTGCCCCGGCGGCGGTGGGCAAGTATGCAGCCAAGCACCCCGAGCTGGGCCTCGGCGCACTCGAACCTGCAGTCGAAGTGAGTGGACGAAGAGAGGACTCTCGCACAGCAGCGGTTTTTGCATCGTGTGCGTGTTGTTTGCTCTGTGCAGACGTACCTGGTGATCTTCACCTGCATTGTGCTCTGGAACGAGGTGCTGACGAGGGGGAATGACTTTGACGTGGCGGCCGTCATTGTCAAGAATGCTGTGGGGCTCAAGCCGGCAGGTGCGTGTGGGATGGATGGATGGATGGATGGTCAGACAGACAGACAGGCAGAGAGCAAGGCAGACACAGAGAGAGAAGAGGCCAGCTGCAGATCTTCCTGTGCCGCTGAGTTCTCCTTTGCTCAGGTGCCGCATTGGAGTGCTGCGCCGTGATCTCGTTGGCCGGTGCGGCAGTAGGTGTGTTGGGGCTCTATCTGCCTGAGGTCTTCCCCAACCTCCCCACGATTGACGACGAGTCGCCCTTTTGGCTGTCCTTCTTGCTCGAGGCCTTCTGCAACTTCATCCACACCGGCATGATCTGCGTCGCCTTCGTGTGCGCCAAGGACGTCCCCGCCACCCGGTTCCTGCAGATGGCGGCAACGGCCATGATTATTGTCAGCGCACAGCCCTTCATCGGGGGCGGCCCGCTGCTGAACGTAAGAAGGATATGGCAAGCCGGCGCGGGGCGCACAGAGAGAGTTGGGAGAGGAAGGTTTACACAAGCAAGCACAGTTGCAGGCTCTCGTCTGTCTGTCTGGCTGGCTGCAGGTGGGTCTTGCGATCACATCTGCGCTCAAGAACCTCCATCCGCTGAGCGGTGTGGTGCATGTCAGCGGCGATCTAGCCGGTGCCTTCCTGGCGGTGAGCGTCTTCACACCACGGAGGAAGGGGCAGGTGGCCGCCGAGGGGGAGGCAGAGCCGGAGGCCAAGAAAGAAAAGTGACTGACGGGCTGACTGGCTGCATGGCCGGTGTTGTGTTGTCTTGTGTGTGTGCATGCGTGTACGATAGACAGATAGACAGACAAGACGGTCAGACAGCGGTTGCCGTCAATTGTATGGGTTTTTTGTCACTCTTGTGCGAAACAATGAAGCAGGCAGGCACATGTCTGTAGCCAGACGGCGTCTCGCTCCTTCCTTGGCTGTTGGAGTTGATCCCCATGCCGAGGGCAGCTGCCACGGACGACAGCTGCTTTTTGCGTGCGGTGAGATGGCCTCAACCAGGGGGAGCAGACGTTTGGACGGACAGTCGGACGAACGGGCGGATAGATGGATGGATGGATGAATGACGTGGGGTGAGTGAGAGTCTTCTGGATTCACCAACGTACGTCACAGCTTAACACAGCCGGCGATCTGGGCACGGTGGATGCATTGGAAGGCACATTCAGTACAAGTCACTAGCTACTCCTCCGTCAGCTGGCTCTCTGTGCATAGGCCTGTGGTTGGTTACTGTGACGAGTCGTTACCTGCAGCCGTCTCCCATTCATCATGAGGCACGGCTGTGGGTGAAGAAGCGACACAAGACCCCCCACAGCCACCGCAACACCACACCAAAGGAAGTCACTCGCAGTCAGCACCGCTGATGAAGGAAGGAAGTCCTCACACACTGTTTGTCAGTATGGCACCCCTGACACAACTGGTCTGTTTTCGTCTGTCGGCCGGCGACGTGTGACGGCCGCTCTCGATGCCAGAGCCACCGGCAAACGTCGCCTTCCGGGCGTGAAAACAGCCCAGCTGTGTTGTCATGCAAGTAAAGCACCACACTTCCAGGAAATGGCCACCGCACAGTCGGTCAGTTGACTCATAT